AGGAGAAGGAGGGAGGGAGGAAGAGATGGGAGGGAGTAAGGTGAATATTGGACGGAGGAGGAAGCGGCGAAGGAGGAGGACTAGTGTCAACCCAAGAGCCACCAACGATGATGGAGTACACCCTCCGTTCAAGCTCCCTTTTTCATAAACCCCTACAGCGGCTCATTTTTATTGAAGCATCTGCCTCGTTGGAAGACAACCGTTTGAAGACCCAGAAGCATGCCAAAACATTGTTTTCGGGATTTCCACGCCCCGGATCAACCTGACTGTTGCGTGATGACGATCCTGGACCGCACCAGAACGCCATTCTTGGGATTCCAACACCGCGAATCAACGCAACCGTTGCGCCGGCAAACTCTGGAATCGAAACGCCATTCCTGGTACGTTCATCGTGGGAATCCGTGGAATTCTGGCACATTTTATGACCGAATGCGCGTGGCGCTAAGGCGACAGCCACATTTTGAAAAGAAACCGCCCTAAACCCGTGAAGTTCTGGCAATTTGTAAAACGAATTTGTGCGGCGCTACCACGAGAACCACATTGCGAAAACGGATTGTCCTCAATCCGTGAAGCTCTTGCAAATCATTAAAGCGACTGTGCGCGGCGCTAAGGCGAGCGCCACATTTTGAAAACGGGTGATCCTCAATCCGTGAACTTCGTGCAACAATTTGAAACAAATGTGCGCGGCGCCCACACGAGAGACACATTTAAACAAAAATACGCCCGCCCTCAGTCCGTGAAACTCTTGCAAATTGTTGAAAAAAGTTTGCGCGGCACCAAAGCGAAAACCACATTTTGAAACCTCCCGCCTGCAATCCGTGAAGTTTTTGCACATGTTTAAACCGAACTTCGCGGAACTAGGGCGAGAACAACACCCGCCCTCAATCCGTGAAACATTTCCAAATATTCAAACACATGCGCGCGGCGCTAGGGCGAGAGCCACATTGTGAAAACCACCCGCCCTCAATCTGTGAAGCAGTTGCCATTTGCTAAGCTTCAGAATCATAAACGGTGAGGAGGTGTCAGGCGAAACGCCCCGCCCGCCCTACAAACTTGCCTCGGGCTGCGACAGGGATAAATTGCGCTTAAGGAAAAATCGAAGAGGAGGAGGAGAAGGAGGAGGAGAAGGAAGAGAAGAGGGGAGGGATACTGATATAGGACAAAAGGATGATAATATAGGAGGGAGGAGGAGGAGGCACAGGAGGAGGAGGAAGAGGATAACCAGTGTAAACGCAAGAGCTATCAACAATGTTGGAATACACCTTCCTTCCAAACTCCCTCTTCAGAAGCCCCTACATTGAAGCATTTGCCTCGTTGGAAGGCAACCGTTTGAAGACTCGGGAGCATGCCAAAACATTGTTCTCGGGATTCCAACGTCGTCACACATCTACTTGACTGTTGCGTCTTGACGATCCTGGATCGTGCTAGAACGCCGCTCTTGGGATTTCAACGCTGCGAATCAACCAAACCGTTGTGCCCGCAATATGCGGAATCCGTCCAAAGCACCATTTCTGGTACGTTGATCCTGGGAATCCGTCAAGCTCGCGCAACATGTATGAACGAATGTCCGCGGCGCTACGGCGAAAGCCACATTTAGAAAAGGAGCCGCCTTCAATCCGCGAAGCTCCTGCACATGTTTAGAACGAACGTGCGCGGCGAGAAGGCAATAACCACCTTTTGAAAACGGGTGATCCTCAATCCGTGAAGCACTTGCAAACTTTTACAACGAATGTGCGCGGCGCTGAAGCGAGAGCCACAGTTTGAAAACGGGTGATTCTCAATCCGTGAAGCTCTCGCACATTTTCAGAAGGAATGTGCACGGCGCTAAAGCGAGAGCCACATTCTGAAAACGGCCCGCCCTCCATCCGCGACACCGCTGTCAACGTTGGAGCTTCAGAATCCGCCGACCCCTTGGGGTTCACCGGCGCGCGAGATGCCCCTCCCTCCCCAAACCCCTCCCCCGGGAGCCCGGCCCGGTCGATTTGGAAGGGGGGGGGGTCCGGCCGGATCCGCCGGGGGGGTCATCCGCTCCGAGAAATCCTGCAAGGACTCCTCCGTGGCCTCGAAATGGTCCCAGGACGCCACTCGACGGCCCAAAATGACCTCCACGGGGAGTTTGGCGCCCCTAAGATGCCCCAAGATGGGCTCAAGACAGCCCACCATGCCTCCGAGATGCTCCAAGAGGCCTCGAAGAGGCACCCCAACAAGGCCTTGAGGAAGCCAAAATCATCAGTTTCCATTGGGAAAACGTGCATTTTTAGCACGCGCGACGTTTCGGCCTCCACAGCGGTGAAGCCAGTCCAAGAGGCTCCCAAAACCACCCCAAGACGTCCTCCCAAGAAGCGCCCAAGACGGCCCAAGCGGGCGCCGAGACAGCCCAAGGGGCTCCCAAAACGGCCGGAAAGGGCCCCAAGACGGTACCCAGAGAGGCCCAAGCGGGGTAGCCCGCACCGAAAATCCGAGCCTTCCGCTCCCAGACGGCTCCAAGACACCCCCAGAGGCGCCCGAAAGGGCCCCAGAGGCTCCCAATGCGCCCCCCGAAAAAACCCCAAGAGGCCCACAAGAGGCCCCAGGAGTCCCCAAAACGGCCCTCAGGAGGCTTCGAGACTACCGTCAAGAGGCCTGCGAGAAGTTTCCCCAAGGCGATCCAAGCGAACGCCGCACAAGCCTCATACCCACAACCTGGGCCCAGCGGTCAGACTCCTCGCAACTTCCGTTCCTTGCCGCCGTGCTCGTCGCTTGTCTCCGCAGGGCGTTTCGGCGGTTCTCTCCGCAGCGCCCGTCCCGCCTTACAGCACTTCGCGCAAACCACCGTATTGCCCCGCTTGAAAAAATTCTAACGGAGTTCCCCACATAAAAACATTAACGGTCTCTTGGGACCCATGGGGTACGACAACATCAACACGAAGGAGAAGCTCATCGAACGAGTAAGTACGCACGAAAGGGCAGACGAAAGAAAGGAAAAGGGAGGACAGGTGCTCGGGAAACGAAGCCTTGTAAATAGTATGGGTTTCCGATACCCTCCTCGCTCAGGCGGGGCCTCCCTGGAAAGGTGGGAAGGGCATGAAACCATGTACATAATATGGGTTTCCGAAACCCCCCTCGCTCAGCGGGGCCTCCCTGGAGAGGTGGGAAGGGAACGAAACCATGTGCATAGTATGGGTTTCCGATACCCTCCTCGCTCAGGCGGGGCCTCCCTGGAGAGGTGGGAAGGGCATGAAACCATGTAAATAATATAGTTTTCCGAGACCCTCCTTGCTCAGACGGGGCCTCCCTGGAGGGGTGGGAAGGGCACGAAACCATGTAAATAGTATGGGTTTCCGATACCCTCCTCGCTCAGACGGGGCCTCCCTGGAGGGGTGGGAGGGGCACGAAACCATGTAAATAGTATGGGTTTCCGATACCTTCCGTCTGGGCCTCCCTGGAGGCGTGGGAGGCGGGGGGCGGGAGGGAGAAGGAGAGGATGTTCTGGGAAAGCAACCCCACTCAGGATGCGGGGAAATATTCTTCTGGTCCTTCGACAGATGGCCCCCGTCTGTGAACGCGGGCTTCGACCCGTCCTTTTTCGGGGGACACGCAGAGCATTCAAACTTATTCGCCACCCTGCGCGCATCGTGGCACGCCCGGCACGCTACTGGCCTATGGTGGATGCCCGTCTGGTGGTACTTCTTGATCTGGTCTGACGTCAGATGCCCCGCGTCCTCGAACTCTGGGCTACCCCCGTCCGCTCACGGGCGTTGGGAACCCACGTGTTTTCACGGCTGTCCCGCGCTGGGGCGTTAGGAACCCACGCGTTTCCAAACATGTCCCGCTTTTGGACGTTAGGAACCATGTGTTTTCACGCCTTTCCCGCTCTGGGGCGTTGGGAACCCACGTGTTTTCGGGACAACCCACAATGCCTCCCAGACGCCCCCCCGAGCCCCAAGATTTCCCCCAAGAACCCAACGAAGCAAACATGTCAGAATCTCTTTTGGGCCGACGTGGAGGCCCCAAGAAGGCCTCCAGAAAACACCAAGGGCCAACCAAAAGGACCCGAAAAGGCGCCCTGGGAGGCCTCAAAAGCAAAACGCGGCAACCGCGAGTTCCCCAAGGGGTCGGCGGTGTGGCGTAAGCCTGAGACTCATAATTTGTAAGGAAGTCTCAGGCGAAACGCTCGGCCCGCCCTAACAACTGGCTCCGGGGTCCGACAGGGAGAAATTATTTACAAGTAAAAGGAGAGAAGGAGGGAGGGACGGAGGGAGGGAGGGAGGGAGGGAGGAGGCGGAGGAGGAGGAGGAACAGGATGAAGAAGAGGAGGCCGTGGAGCGTTGGAGGTAATGCTGCCTCTGCGGCGACTGTTGCACAGGGGGGTCGCCCTTTGGTGGGCGGGCTGGGCACGGGGGTGGGCTCGGTACAGCCAGTCCGCCCTGACCTTCGCCCCGTGCCCCCCCCTCCTCCCAACAGCGGCCTCTGTTTTGCATAGCCGACAGTGGTCGTTGCTTGTCTCTCCCTTTGTTTTCGCCTCGGGTCTTGCCCTGCGGGATCCGTGTTGCTGGTCAAACTGGTCATCAAGCTGGTCAAACAACATGAGGAAGCCTCTTCAGGCCCTCTTGGGGCCTCAAGAGGCCTCAAGAGGGGAAGAAGAGGGCCCAAGAGGCCTCTTGAGGCCTCAAGAGGCCTCAAGAGGAGGAAGAGTGCCTCAAGAGGCCTCAAGAGGCCTCTTGGGGCCATCGAGGAAGAAGAGGAGGCCTCTCGAGGCCCTCCTGGGGCCTCCGCAGAACCCGTCTCCGGAGCCTTCCGGCACGCCATGCTGGCCACCTCCTCGAGCCACGCCTGGCCCGCGGGCACGGGGCGCCCCTCCGAGGCCCACAAGAGGCCGTCTTCGTCTTCGTCGTCGTCGTCGTGCTGTCGTCGTCGTGCTGTCGCTGTCGTCGTCGTAATGTCGTCGTCGTGCTGTCGTCGTCGTCGTCGTCGTCCTCGAGGGGCGAACTTGCAGCCTCGAGTTTCGAGACGGCGCGGGCCTCCCGCGAGCGACGGCAGCAAGGGGTCCTGCCAGAGGAACAAGCGCCTGGACTCCGCGCACCAGTGGGTCAAGTTCCCCGCGCCGTCTGGAGTCCACAGCGGCTCCTCGAGGCGTGGGTCCAAGAATGGAGATGGAGGCGCTGACTGAGTGATCGATGCACCCGTAGCCCAGCGGGCCCCTCGGACTGGAGGAGCGTCATATCATATCCAACCGTGAACGCTTCTCGCACACGTGCTCTTTTTGAGGGGAAGGTGCTCCTCCTCCTCCTCCTCCTTCTCCTCCTCCTCCTCCTCCTCCTCCTCCTTGGTCCTTCTCTTCGCTCCTCCTCCTCCTCCTCCTCTTCCTCCTCCTCCTCCTTCTCCTCAAACTCCTCCTCCTCCTCCTGCTCCTCCTCCTCCGACTCTTCTCTTCTCTTCTCTTCTCTTCTCTTCTCTTCTCTTCTCTTCTCCTCCTCCTCCTCCTGCTCCTGCTCCTCCTCCTCCTCCCTCCTCTCCTCCCTCCCTATCCCTCCCTCCCTCCACCCTCTCCTCTGCTCATCCCCCCTCCCTCCCTACCTCCCTCCCTCCCTCCCTTTTCCTCCTTCTCCTCCTCCTCCTTCCTCCTCCTCATCATCATCCTCCTCATCATCATCATCATCATCATCATCATCATCATCATCCATCATCATCATTACCATCATGAGAATCACCATCATCATCATCATCACCATCATCATCAGCAGCAGCATCATCATCAGCATCGTCATCATCATCAGCAGCATCATCATCAAAATCAGTATCAGCAGCATCAGCATCATCACCATCGTCATCATCAGCTGCAGCATCATCATACTCATCATCATCAGCATCATCAGCATCCTCCTCCCCCACCTCCTCCTCCTCCTCCTCCTCATCATCATCATCAACATCTTCGTAATCATCATCATCATCATCATCAGCATCATCATCATCATCATCATCAGCAGCAGCAGCAGCAGCATCATCCTCGTCATCAACAACAGCACCAGCATCACAATCAGAAGCATCGGCATCAGCATCATCAGCATCATCGTCATCACCATCAGCAGCAATATGAGCATCCCCACCCGATCTTCTTGTCAGGCCAGCCTCTCGACGTTGTCTGTTCGCAGATCACTCTCCAGCCAAGACGCAGCTGCTCGGCGCGTCCGAAAGGGACGCCACGCCAGAGAGAAAATCCAGCGACCTCTCCAGCGACTAACAGGAAGCATCTATACACAGGCTCAAGGGTGGGCGGGCTTGGTTGAGCCCAAAAACCCACGGAAGCGATTAGCATCGACGGCCTGACCTCTAGACCGATGGGGAAAGACATGCACGCAAAGGATATCCCCACCCGATCTTCTTGTCAGGCCAGCCTCTCGACGTTGTCTGTTCGCAGATCACTCTCCAGCCAAGACGCAGCTGCTCGGCGCGTCCGAAAGGGACGCCACGCCAGAGAGAAAATCCAGCGACCTCAAAGCATCTAACTCCAAAAGATTCTCCTGGCCGTCAGGCCGTCATTCGCATCAAGGCACGGTGCACTGAACAGAGCCTAGACTCACGGTACGCCTTCGCGAGCAAACTGGACAATTTGGGCGGGTATGGTTCAGCGATCTTTGTCCAGAAGGCGCCAGACGGCGCCTTGCCCTCGAGGGCTTTGTGCGGCGCCAGCGAAAAAGAGCAACAGCCACGGCCACTGCACTTACAGCTACACAGGGCGTCTAGGTTCACGTGCACATACATGACTCTGGTACGTTTTCTCCATTGCGTGCCAAAAGCACAGAAGTCAAAGTCGATCACCTTCACGTTGGTCTGCTTGGCGGCATGTACCGCCCACTTGGTCTGCCACACCCACGAGGTGGCTGGGTTCTCGATTGCCGCTGGGACTCCACGCAGGGCGCACTCCAGAAAGAAGCTGAAGGAGAAGCACGCGAGCCTGTTCCCTAGCATCACTTTGAGCGAGTCGCCTGACGAGAGGCCAGGGAGTCCCAGCAAGTGTTGTCCATCACGCAAGGCCGGGGGCCCGTTGGGCCTATTCCGAGCCATGGACCAGGAACTGCAGGGCATACCCAGCCAGACACCCTGAAGCAGCTGCCCTCGAAGCCAGCCTCGAACGACACGTTGCACGCCTCGCCTGGAGAGGTCGGCCAGGCCGGGCTCGTGCTCCATGTCCAGCTCGAAAACACGTGGGGCCAGCCGAGAGGCCTGGCCTTGTCGCATGGCACGCGACCAGCTCCCAGAGCCACTGAAGATCTCCAGGTACACCTTCGACTTGGCGGTGTGGGCCCACGAGCTCAGATTCTGCATAGGGTGCTGCCAATAGTCACGGCGCAGCCGAGGGCCTGAGCTTGCTGCACTGGTCGTAGACGCTGGAGCTGCTCTTAGACACGGCCTCCCTTTGCATAGCGCTTGAGACTCCGATCGGACTCCCACCGTCCCCTTTTCTTGATGTCCCCGAACTCCCGAGCGCTGGTTAGCATCTCGTGGCTGGCACCGCCATGGCGCAGCTGGTACAGCACCGGGGGGCCCAGGGTCTCCAGGTCCAGGGCGGCGGACGCGAGGCTGAACGCCCGGGTCCATGACTTCATGCTCAACGCGAACAGCGGCTGCTCTGGGTGTCGGCCCAGCACCAGTCGGTCCAGCACCTGCTCCATCCAGCCGAACTCGGGGTTGTCCAGCAGCAGGCTGATGTCGTAATCCTTTGTCTTCGACCTCGCCTCGAGCTCGGCCGGGAACAGGAGGATGGAGTACTTGCTCAGGTGCCGGGGCCCGCACTTCACCGGCCGCACGACCGAGACCACGCGCAGGGACAGCAGCTCGGATGGGCGCAGGTAGAGGATGAAGGCCAGCACAGACGCCGTCGCCGCCGCCTCGCACCCGTTCGTCGCCATCCAGTCCGCCATCCACGCCACCACCGGCCAAGGCAAGGGCAGGCGAGCCCGGGGGGGCGCCATGGACTTCCAACCCTTCAGTGCCCGCTGCACGCGCGGCATGTTGATCAACTTGGGCAGCAGGTCCAACCGGAAGTGGGTCACGGCAGCCGCCAGCTTCGACCCGTCCGGCGAGTCGTGGCCCTCGAAGTACAACTCGTTGAAGTACTCCAGGAGCGTCTCCTCCAGCTCTGGGATGGTGGACACTGGAAGCCTCGCAGCAGCGGCCCAGGTCAGGAAACGGTGGTATCGGGCCTGGTAGTCCAGCGTCGTCCTGTTGCCCACCGCCTTCTGCTCCAGGAACGACCGCTGTCCGGGCCCCCGCCAGTGGGCGCCCTCTGGATGCCTGGCCCGCCGCCGCTTCGCCCGGGCGGTCCGCTCCAGTGGCTCCGCTGCCAGGTCCAGCCCCAGTGTCGAAGCCGCCGCCGAGGAAGAGGTCCGCCCCGTCGGGGTCCCAGCTCGCCTCTTGCTCGAGGCCAGGCGGGGGCCCGAAGGTAGGCTGCCTCGCGCCAGGAGGCCGCCTGACGTCGGAGTCGGCGCCGTGGCTACCACCAACGGTGCTGGGGCAGCAGGTAGCTGCTGCCGACGAAGCATAGCCCACGCCTGGCAGGTTCCTGGAGGCGCGGTCCGCGGAGTTCCGCTCGGAAGGTACCCAGCGCCAAAAGAAGGCAGTGCCGCTAGCCAGCGAAAGAGCCGCCAGCTGCCGGCAGATGCGCCCCATCTCTGGGCGCGAGGACCGCCCCTTGGTGGCAGCCAGGATCGTTCCCAGACAATCGCCCAAGCACAGATGGCACCGGTTGAAGGATGAGAGACGCCGAAGGATATGCCGAACAGCCACCACCATCCCGCGACCTTCCAGAACGACTTGAGGTTCCGAACGACACCATCTGTGCGACACGACCGGGTACCACCCCTCCGCCCAGACGCCCTCAGGGATCTCCGGGAACTCCTCATTCTCCACCTGGGTCACCTCCTCCACCTCGAACGCGGAGCCTGACACAACGAACTCCTCATCCTCCTCCAAGTCCGTGATCACCTCCTGGAAGCCCCCGGGGTCCTCGAAGGTTGCGATCGACTCGGGCACGAAGGGGTCTCCAGAGCTCTGAGCCTTCAGGGCGAGGGACCGATGTGAGACGCCACCCTCCTGAGTCTTGCTGAATCTCCACCTCTCGTTGTACCGTGATAACTCCAGCGCAACAGCTGATGACGATGTTTTCTGAGTGACCCCCACGCCCCACCACGATGCGTCGACCATCGTGAGCCTGCTGTCAAACGCGGCTCCCGCGTCTCGGAAGCAGAACACGACAAGACTGGCGCACCAGCGGAGCTCGCGCAGGCAAGAGGGCCACAGCCGAGCAGTTCGCCCACCATACTGGGCAGAAAAAGCGTACAGCGAGTTGAGACAGGACAGAAGCTCGCGCCGAATCAGCGCCCTCGATGTAAAGTGTGAGACCACACGTGAGACCGTCTTGCCCGAAGCGAAGCCCTTCCGGCACAGCTCCAGGCAGGCCAGCCGTAGCTTCCACCGCAGCGCCGGGTTCAGCCCGATGATCGGGAACTTCTCGTCGAACTGCCAGCCCAGCGCGGCCGCGCCGAAACTGCACTCGACCCCGTGGGTGGGTAGGCCAGCCGCTCGGAGCTCAGAGTCGACCGCAGCGGCAGCCGCAGACGCCACCGACGGGTCGGTCGAGAGGCTCAGCGCGTTGTCCACGTACTCGGTGTGAATCACGTCGCTGGTCACGCCCGGCACAGGCCGCCTGTCTACGAAGCGGTTGGCCACGGTCAGCTGGGGCACCTGCAGCGCGGTCGCCTCCAACATCGTCTGGCAGATCCAGAGGCTGAAGGAGCAACCCATCGGCGGGCAACGGAAGCAGGGATAGACCACGTCCGTCCCGCTGAGAGGGCGCCCGTCCGAGGTGCGGTCAAGCCCCAGCAGGCCCGCGCGGCAGCTCGGCAGCGCAAAGTACCGTCGGAACTCCGGCGGCAGCAGCATCGTGTAGAAGGCGTCGGCCAGGTCCACCTCGGCCACGGCGATGGGCTTCCCGCTGTCCACGTGAAGGCCAGCGAAGCTCGCGCCAGACGCGAGGGCCACCTTGTCCGGGGCCCGGAAGTGCAGGGACGCATGTCTGCCGTCCAGGATGAGCCGCAGCTTCCCCGACTTCTTGTATACGAAGAACA